CTCTCTCTCTCTCTCTCTCTCCCTCTTAACCCAGTACCAAAGTCACCAAACTGCCACCGTTTTCTGATTCCACCCTTGCTTCTGCACCTCCCAGATTTCCCAGTAAGATTTACCATTTCCTCTTTTCTTCTCGTTGCTAAAGAAACAAACTATGATGGATTGGTTCATAGTTTTTATACCCTTAGTTTTCAAAGGTTGTCTCTTTTTGTTGTCTAATTTAGTGGGTCTGTATGTATGTAATGTCTCATCAGGGATGGAGAGTTGTTTCAGCTTTGCACAGTGGCAAGAGCTTGAGTTGCAGACTCTGATATTTAGGTACATGCTGGCCGGTACTCCTGTTCCTCCTCAGCTGCTTCAACCAATCAAGAAAAGCTTCTTTCATTCCCCTCCCCCTTTCCTTCAACTTTATCACCCTCCTTGTAAATTTCTAACCCCATTTTTCTTCTACTTCCAAATTTCTCTTTTACTAATATCAAATGGACATTTTAATGGTAGTCAGGAACAGAACTTAAATTCACCTTGATAGTAGTTTGCTAATTTTTGGACTGATTCTGATTTTATTAGAATTTTATTTCAGTAGTTTTTTTAGTAGAATTATTGAAGTGTAATTGATTGCAATTAATTTCTGAATTGGCTAAAGGTATAATGTTAAGTTGTTTTGATATTCTGTCAGAAAACTGTATAAAGTTTAGTCCTTCTTGTAGTTATATAAGACATGGTGATGTGAGGTTGTTTAAGTTTAGTTCATGATATGAAGTTCGAATTTTGAATATGCAAAACGTTTTAAATATTCAAAAAAAAGAAGAATTTTATTATTAATAGTAATCAAGTTAAGTGGAGTTAAGATTACTTTTGTTACTTTTCTTCTATTTGTTGTTAGTTTACTTTGAGGTGTTGGCTTTACAAAGGTGGTAGAATATGAAAGGTTATTTTTTGGGCTATAATACCTTATGCCCATTAAAGTTAGTCCATTTGGGTGAAAAAATTGTGATGAAAGATTTGATTTTTTTGGCATCAGTGTTGGAATCAGGGTACTATTGGGGAAGAGAAGCACTGGATCCGGAGCCAGGTCGGTGCCGGAGAACGGACGGGAAGAAGTGGCGGTGCTCGAGGGAGGCGGTGGAGGGTCAGAAGTACTGCGAGCGGCACATGCATCGTGGCCGAAACCGTTCAAGAAAGCCTGTGGAACAACCTCATGCATCTTCTTCTTCTTTATCCTCTGCTTCCTTCAAACATCATCTCCTTCACCACAATCAAATGTATGTCTTCACATTGTGAAATTTGTTGCTTTTCTTTTGAGTTTCATTTTGAATTATGTGGATTGCTATGTTAATTGGTCAACCACCATAGATTACCAAAAGGGTTGCTGCTTCATAGTGTAATGAAAGAGCTTCATCTAATTTGGAGGCACTCTCATTTAATTTGTGATTTAAGAATATATATATATATATATATATATATATATATATACACACACACACATTAAAAAAAAGAAGAGAAAGAATGTAGACATTTATGAATTTGATTCTTGAATTTAAAAGACTTGATCAAAGTTAGAAATGACTAAATGTACATTTTTTTCAAAGTTCCCAATTCATTGTTTGATCGGAAGCTTGTATTTCTAAAACACAATCTTTTTATTGTGAATAACGGTTGTAGAGAGATAGATAAAAGACTATACTTGTTTCAAACCTTATAAAATGAAGCCGTAATTTTCTGAAAACTCAATTTTTTGGATTGCAAATGGTACAATATAGGAAATGGTACAATCAACGATTGTACATTATCAAAACAATATGATGAAACGAGTTGCAGGATGGACTTTCTCTTTTCTTGTCTTATCTTTTCTGTTAATACTTGGTGGGTGTGTAGATATATGTTGTTTCCATTTTACCTGTTTTGGACGTGAATCCAAATTCGTCCATACTGCAATGTCCTTTCGTGAAAACTAAGCTGTTTTTGCCGGTTTCCCTGTAGTTCCACTGGGGCCAAGAGTAACAGCAAGAGCTTGTCTGAAAACCATGATCATGTAGATGGGAATGGCAGATCTGATGGCCATGTCCTGAGGCATTTCTTCGATGATTGGCCAAGGACACTGCAAGAACAAGACCATAGTAAAAGCAATGGTAGCCAGAACAACAACACTGGAACATATCTTTCCATGTCAACACAAGGAATCACTTCCTCGGATGTGTCACTGAGACTGTCCACTGGTCATGCAGAGAATACAAGCCACGTGGCTTCAGTGGGAGGACCACTCGCAGAGGCACTGAGATCATCCACCTCCACTTCTTCACCAACCAGTGTTCTGCTACAGTTGCCAACTAGTTCTGCTTGTAACACCAGCTTCATTAGCACCTAAAAGTTGCTGGGGTTGGGGTTTGTGAGAATTTTTGGACATGTATGTGCAAATACAGAGACACACTTATAATGCATCAATTTTGGACATCTAATAATGAACTATCATTTTGTAGTTAGTTAGTTTAGCATATGTTGGCATGGTCTTGTTTCTTTAACTACTTTAGTGTCAGCATAAAATGCATCAATTGTTACCAATTTCATGGATTAAAAGCTCTAATAATTTGAGTAATAGCAGTTTTTAGTAAAGGTGTAATGAGACTCCAATTGTGATAAAAGACTAAGACTACGAATGTTTATGACACTGCGTTTAGGTTGGACTTAAAGAAAAATATAGAAAACATTAAACGTTCAACCACAAAAATTTTCTGTTGTAAAGCTCGTTGTATGCTTAC